AGTCGAACATTCGCTTATGGGAACACGCGGCCTCAAACGTCTCAGTCGTTCTTAGCACACCGTTGCCCCCATATATGGAAGTGAAGTTTTTCGGGAAAGACGCCCCTGCTGGAGAATGGGACAATCCCATACGTTGCCTTGGGAGTGACCCGTACGACAACAATGAAATAGTTGGACGTTTCAAGACGCGTCTTTGGTATGAAAAAGTACGCAAATTTTGGGTACCACTGTGGCCAGAAACCACGGACTGAGGCGGACGACAAGACCGTCACCCGCAAAACAAGTAGTGGCAACTCGGAACCGGGATATAACGGCAGAAGCATGCCGAAACGTGGAAAATTTTGGTCTCGTGGTCGACACGAAACACGTGAGTTTTCAAAATAAGTACGAGTGAAGTGGGACCACTCTTTTTGAACCCCGGGGGTTGTGAGAAAAGGTGTCAGAGGGTTGTCGAAGATCAATAATTTCAAATGATCTACTTGTTGCAGATCTGGCGCGAGGAAACACGCGGGAGAGAAGCGTCGGTTGGGACGCAAGGACCGAGTCGTTTTAGTCGCTGTTTTTCGCAACACAGGGGAACCCCCGTTCCGTCGCAGATTGTCTTGGACCCCGCAGGATCGCCTCACATAGGCCGCAATCATTCTCGCATAGCCGCCGTGAGACGCTGAATATTTCGGGAAGGTTCTTTGCCGCTAACTCTCTATTCGAACTGACAGCTAATTCAGTTTGTTCGCTGCATATTCTTTTTTTTGTTGTGTCATTGTTTCTTCATCTCGTCGCATAATTCTTGCGAGCCTCGTACCTCAGAAGTCCCGCTCAGGCGCCTCTTTACTGTCGCTATTGTTACATTCATTTGTTTCGTTTCGTTACCTCACTCCAATTTTGTGTCCTCTTGCGTTCCTATCTTTTGAAGTTGATTGTTGAAGTTCGTTGATACGTTTTTTTTGGCTTGTATCGTGTCAGATAACGCATAAAAAGAGTTGCGTGACCTAGTGTTTGCGATCGAGTAAGAAATCGGTCATATCCTAGATTACTTTGGTCGTATTGACTAGTTCCGGTCATACCGACTCAACGAAACTGGTGACATCAACATTTCGACGTCCGTTATCAGCTCCTATCAGTAGTTATCACTTCCCGCCACCCGTCATCAGTGTTCACCTCCGGCCCCCTATATATCCTAGAAGTTTGAGCGCTCTGGGTCCAAAGGGGGTGAAGTTATGAATTTCCGGTCAGACACACACACAACAAAACCGCTTAGCCGATTATATATAGTAGGATCTTTTTGGGTGCGGTGGTCCACACCGCGTGTATTACGCTAATTCGTCTACGTACAAACCGATTTATCAGCACCAGCAGCTGCGTCGAGCCATCAGGGCTGGGTCAGGAAGTGCGCGACGTGAAGGCAGCAAGGTGCTGTACCTTTTGGCCTACAGTAGACGGCGTGACAAGGAAAACTTACTAGTCATTTCGATAGATTCCTTCTTCACGAAAAAATTCACATGTCCTATTTGTTTTTCCTACTGATGGCAGGTGACGTACAATGGTAGAACCACATAGTTACTCAAAGGAGGAATTTACGATGAAAGAAGGTCAAAGAAGGGGAAATTGCATTGGGGGACAGGCGGACCTCCTGAGGGTGCTGACCGACGCGCAATTGGCAGCGAAAGATTTGACCTCGGCGATCTAGCATGGCTCACTCTTGGCGCGGTTGGCGGGGTACGCCCACCGACTATCTAATCACTCGCCGCAGGTCTATACGTGGCGAGTGATTAGATAGCAGAGAGAGTAGTGTTGAAGAGGGCACAGCGATGAGAGTCGCATCAATGCGCAAATCAACGGGCAAGGAAGGGGTCCCATTTCTCGGGTTCGGGCCGTTTCAAATGATTTCCTTCATCCCTGCTCCACTGACCACCTCTACCGCTTAATTCTGCCTTTAAGTATAAGTAAGTCTTTACTCTTCCTACAGTGCCTCACCTGCTATCGCATAGACAGCCGCAACAATACAATGGGCTAGCCATCTGAAAAGTCACTCCATAATAATCGGTTCCATTGACAGGTTATTTATCGAGAAGCGTTCTGTTTGACTAACCGTTTTTAAATGGGCCTGAAACAGCTCACTTCTATAAGTTCTGCAAATGCCAATGTTAAGCGACACATTTGTTTCGTCTAATTAATCATAGAGGAGCGCTCTAAAGCTTCGACTGTTCCGCTCGTTCGTTGAAGTGTAAAACAGAGATTTTGCCGTGGTCTATCGCAAAAATGGAGCCATGGATGTCATCAGAACGCAGGGTGCGGATGCGCCAGCAATGCGCGAGCCGCGTTTGCGCGTCTGTGTGATTTCGTGGAAAAGGGTTCTGTTCCGAATTTTTGACTCCTAGAGTCGTGCAACTCTTTCGTGCGACTGCTGGAACGTCGTAGTGGCCACGACCCACGAGGGTAGGTCTCAGAGTCAAGCGTGCGCTGAGGAATCCACGACAGATTGGTCGAAGGACTAATCAAGGATCGAATCATGAAAGGCCAGAGGATTTCCAATAACAATGATATTTCACCCACACAAAATTTTCGTGATTCTGAGGCGTCCGGTAATTCTTAGTTACTTCAGTGTTTTATCACCACACAAGTTAAAGAATCCGAAATTCGCACGTTTTCCAAGAGATATTTTATCTTTCAAGTGAGTCCTCAATCTGAAGGGATGTGAAGCACACGGCGCATCCCAGAGTGGGCCCAGTTGGTTGCGCGCGCTTCAACTACGGCTCTCTGGAGAAAGAATCTCAATTCAGGAAAAATCAAGAGGATTCTGAAAGGGTTCATGTGAAATTACAGGGAGGAGTACACTATTCAACAAGAAACGCAGCCTTCAGCGTCAAATTCACAATGTATAAGTGTTAAAGTTGAGATTCGCCAAACAATTTTACACTTGTTGGAAAGGAAAAAACGTGGATTCCGAATCTGCTCCCACTTTGTACATAATCGCCCCTGAAAGGAGCTATAGTCGTTGAAATAGTGCCAATGCAGCGAAAAAGTACCTTTCGGCGGTACTCGGGCAAAAATCCTCAACGTGGCCATTTTTTAAATACTGGACGTATTAAGCTGCTTTAGTACCGTTGAATAGAGCAAATCTTCTAGTTTATGATGACGTATTAACTTTTCAGATTTGACGAAAATGAAGCAAGTTATGGCTTCGGAAAGTGTAAAAACTCGTGCTCATCTCGAATTTTCCTCGTTAATTGATCTAAATTTGTTATTTCTTATAACTTTTTGTAATTTCAACACTGATTAGAAGCTCTTCACAAAACTCCCAAATCTGCTTTCAGATTGAAAATTCGTCACTTTGAAGAAAGTTATAATCATTTGAATATTTGTTCAAATTTCAATAGTAGATAAGCTGCTCCACGGTCAACGCCAAAGATCCAACACACAGCTGGCGAAGCGGTTACAAGGCTTCTTTCAAGCGAGAGGTGGTCATGTAGATTGACGTACACTGTGTAAGGTTAAAACTTGGTAAGCCATTCGAAGGAAGAAGAGGTGCTCTCATTGTCTGCTTCTTTCATGCCTGGTTCGTCGTTTTTTTTGCTCCCCTTGTTGGTAGGACTCATTGGTAATGGCCTTTCTTTGACTTTTTCTACTTTTTCTACTTTTGTTTATTGAACGACTTTTTGGTGGAGGGTGGGGTAGCAGGGCTTTTTTATGAACAGTTTTGGTGGAGAATTAAACAACTTTTTCATAGTTCGGCTTTTAAAGAGGGTCGTTTCATGGACTTCGGCCTCTGGGGGGGAGGGGGGGGTCGTATTTCCAAATTTTCCTCGACTCCTTTCTTGACCCTGGCAGGTCTTGTAGGCACGAACTAGGTAAGGACTGTCACGTCCACGCCATCGCTGCAGATGTTCATGAGCTTGGTGTGTACATAGCAGGGGGTGCGCAATTGGCGTTGCGTCTTTCTGGAGCGGACATTGAAGTTCAAGTCAGTATATGAAGACCTTCATATGGGTCCGTATTCAGGCATAAACCATGTTCCAGAATAATTGCAACTTCAACGTGCTTTGTGATCTGGATGGTATTTCTGGAGAAAAGACTGGTTTTCGATGCTCCTGCAAAGTTATAGCAAAAGTTGGCCATGACGACAGATCCCAGACGATGGTTGTGTGAAAGTATTGTCTGTCCAAGTTTCATTTCTCCTTTCGCTGTTGAATCTTAATGTTCTGATTCCT